TGGCAGGAATTGGTTCTCTCCACCATTTGGGTCACAGGGATTAAATTTAGGTCATCAGGCTTGACAGCAGATATGTGTAACCGCTGAGCCTTCCCACCAATTTCGCCTGTGCCTTTTCAAGTTGTGTTTTTGCTTTTCACTCACAGTATTTTGCCTTGTGACTTTTTCAGTGATACTCTTGTCTCCGTGTCATTACTGACTTTCCAAATGCTAAATCCAATCTTTACTTAGGGATTTAATTTACATCTCTATGCTCTGAAGCTATTGACCACAGATCTTAATTTTTTAAAGATTAATTTGTATTTTACATGTATGAATGTTTGCCTATATGTAGTATGTTTGTGCACAACATGCATGCCTGATGCTTGATGAAGCCAGAAGAGAACATTGAATCCCAGAGTTCCAAATGGCTGTGAGCTGCAGTGGGAGTGCTGGGAGCCAAACCTGGGTCTTCTGCAACAGCAGCAAGCAGATGCTCTTAAGCACTCAGCCATCTTTCCAGCCACTTGACCACAGCATTTTGTTTCTCCTTTTTTCTTTTCCTTCCTCCCTCCCTCCCTCCCTCCCTCCCTCCCTCCCTTCCTCCCTTCCTCTTTTAAAGACAATGTCTCACTATGTAGCTCTGGCTAGTCTGAAATTCTCTATATAGATCACGCTGACCTCACACTGGAAGATATCCACCTGCCTCTACCTCCTGAGATTTAAGGTGTATGCCACTAGGCCCAGGGATGTAGTATCTTCTATCATCCTCTTCTTTACTTCCCTAAGACACAGTATAGTTTCTTACTTAACTGGAAGTTGACTATTTCTCAGGAAGCCTGGTCAGTAAGCTCTTGAGATCTACTTGTCTCTGCTTCCCAGTGCTGGAGTTTAAGATACACAGCCATGTACAGCTCTCTATGTGAGTGCGGGGAATTTGAACTCAGCTCCTCAGGTTCTCATGCAGAGCTGTTGCTGTGACATAGTCATCTCCCCAGGTAGTTTGTCTATCTACAATCCATTCTTCTCTGCTGACACATATGTGTAATTCCCTCTAAATTCTGATGTCTATTCAGTTTTGTTTTGTTTTGGTTTGGTTTGGTTTGGTTTTTGGTTTTTCAAGACAGGGTTTCTCTGTGTAGCCCTGGCTGTCCTGGAACTCACGCTGTAGACCAGGCTGGCCTCGAACTCAGAAATCCACCTGCCTCTGCCTCCCAAGTGCTGGCAGTCTATTCAGTTTTTATGAGGAATTTTTGTTCCACTTTTTGAAGAAAACATTTTACTATGTTATGTGCGTGAGTATTCTGCCCGCATAGATGTCTGTGCATTTCTGGTACCCATAGAGGCCAGAAGAACATGTCAGATTCTCTGGATCTAGAGTTATGGACAGTTCTCAGCTACCATTTAAGGCCAGGAATTGACTCTTGAGTCCTCTGGAAAAGCAGCCGATATTCTTAACTGCTGAGCCATCTTTCCAGGTCTGAATTGTTCATCTTTTGAGCTGGTCTATTTGTTTACTTTCATTTAAAAGTGATTTATTTAATGTGTATGGGCATTTTACTTGGATGTATGTCTGCACCACTGCTAAATATCTCTATTTTGCTGACTATTCTTTTTTGTTTGTTTGTTTGTTTGTTTTGTTTTGTTTTTCGGGACAGGGTTTCTCTGTGTAGTCCTGGCTGTCCTGGAACTCACTCTGTAGACCAGGCTGGCCTCAAACTCAGAAATCCTCCTGCCTCTGCCTCCCAAGTGCTGGGATTAAAGGCGTGCGCCACCACTGCCTGGCTCAAATTTTTAATATCAGTTTTTGCTGTGTAATTTGTGAGTCACTTGTGAACACTATAATTTTTTTACCTCTAAATTCTATTAAGAATATGAGTGTTTTGATACTTCAGTGTAATTGTAATATAATTATTGTACTTGAAAATGTTAACATCAATGTTTAATATGGTTTTTTAATATATAATCTTTGTTCAAACTTTTCCAGTGTCCTTTTTTAGAAAAGAGGGTCTCATAGCCAGGCTGGCTCTAACTTACTGTATAACTGAGGATGACCCTGAACTAGCTGTCCTGTATGTCCACTTGCTGAGTGATGGGATTACAGGTGTGGGTCATCATGATGGCCTTGTGTCTTTAGTTCACTGTAGAGCCATTTCTTACTCTTGTTAAAAAATTGTCTTTTATGGAATTGATTGATTATCTTTGAAGAGTCCAAGTCAGTTATTTGGCTCATAACCACCTGTAGTTCCCAACTCCAAGGGGATTTGATGCTTCTGGCCTCTGAGGAGACCTGCACCTACTTGCATGTACCCCCCACCACACACACACACAACACACACACTTAAAAGAGAAATTTGTTTTGTTTTATTTCATTTTTTGAAACATGTAGTCCTGATTGTCCTGGAACTCACTCTGTAGACCAGACTGGCCTTGAACTCTCAGAGATCTGCCTGCCTCTGAGATTAAAGGTATACACCACCATGCTGGCAAGAAAAATTTTCTTTTAAAAAAAAGATAAAAATATGGTTTTTTGCTTTGTTTTTTCTTTTTAAAGAATTAAAGCCAGAAGTTAGGCAGAGTGGTACAAACCTATAATTACAGCATTTAGGAAGCTAATACAGGATTTTAAGTTGAAGCCAACCCGGGCTACATAGTAAAACCATTTCTCAAACCCAGAAAGGCCCAGGGATGCAGCTTAGTTGATAGAATGCTTATCTAGCATGCAAAAAGCCCTGGGTTTGATCCAGAACCCTGTGTTGTGGCACATGCTTGCTGGTAACTTAGCTTGGGAGGTGCAGAGAAGCGGACCATAAATTCAAAGTCATTCTTGTCTACATGGTGAGTTTGAAGCCAGCCTGGAATACATGGGACCCAATTAGAAGAAAAATCTAGAAAAACAAAAATAGAATTGGTACAAGAGACAGTGGCTTACTGAGCTGATGAGGGCAGGACCACTTGGCCCAGGGTTTCAAGATTAGTCTGGGCAATAAAAGAGGACCTTCTCAGAGAGAATTAACTAAGGAGTCAGCATGAGCTGGGCATAGTGGATCATGCTTGTAACCCACCACTTCAGATATATCAGTATAAGACCAGCTAGGGCTTCAGAGTGAGATTCTATTTCAAAAGCCCCCAGACAAGAAAGAACCAGTCTAGACTTGTCTTTCTCCGTGTTATCTATTTCTATTATAATTCATTGTGGTTTTCAAATACTGCTAATCAAAATTCTGTTTTGTTTTGTTTTTTTTAAAGATTTATTTATTTTATTTATGAGTACACTGTCGCTGTCTTCAGACACACCAGAAGAGGGCATCAAATCTCATTACAGATGGTTGTGAGCCACCATGTGGTTGCTGGGATTTGAACTCAGGACCTCTGGAAGAGCAGTCAGTGCTCTTAACCACTGAGCCATCTCTCCAGCCCTGTTTTGTTTTTTTAAGTTCGTTTTTACTTGTTTTGTTTTGTTTTAGAAATAGCATCTCATACTTGTTGCTTAGGGTTGCCTACAACTCACTCTATGTAGCTCAGACTAAGCTCAAACTTGTGGAAATTCTGCCTTAACCTCTCGCATGCTGGGATTAAAGGCTTGTACCACCACCACCCAAGGCTTCATGTATGCTAAGCAAGAACTGCATCTGTCGAGCCACATCCCTAACCCAAGAGTGTACAGTTTAAAGTTATTGTCTTTCCTTCTGCTTCTGTGACAGATTATCAACAGAGCATTCTGTTGTAGGTTTGTTTGTTTTGTTTGTCTTTATGTAGTCTTGCTCATCCTGGAGCTTTCTGTGAATTCTAGGCTGGCCTTGAACTCTTAGAGGGCCATCTGCTTCTGCTAGGACTAAAGATGTGTCCACCAAGCTGGTCAATTTGTGTACTTCTGAAGTGCTTACTTTTATTCTACATTTCTGTTCTTGATTATATTTTATTCTTAGAATATGTAAAGTTATTAATAGTCAGAAATTAAATGACCATAATTGCAATAACTAATTTAAACAAGATGATGGATGGTAAATCATTGAGCTTTAACTCATCAAGGAGACTTAAAGTCTAAGTCTCTTACCATTTTTTTTTAAACTGTTAGCTTTGAGGATTTCCTAGTTGTGTTTTATTTTATAGATAGAAACCAGATATATGTTTGGTTGGGCTTTCCAAGTCAGGGTCTTATGGTAGTGTTCTGGTTGGCTTGGCATAAGCTGACCTCAAACTTAAGGTTATCTGCGTCCACTTTCAAGAACTGGAGTTCTAGGCCTATAATATGCACTGTAAGTGATACATTACTTTATGTGTTCTTTTTACCTCACCTTCATAGAAATGTTGCTTTGTCTCATTTCTTCCCTAACACAATTTCACTAAAAGCTGAGGGTTTTCATTACTCTCATCTCAATAGTTCTTTGCCTCTCAGCTTTCAGCACTTTTGCCTGAATTCCATTTCTTGGTCTGTCTCCTTCTCCAGCTGAATCTAGCCACTCATTCACATGGTGACCTTGTGGGTTCCCTGGACACATTCCGTCCTGTTGGACCACTTTTCCTTGGAGTGCTTTTTAAACTTTTCACATTGCACCTTAACTTGACAGTTTTGTTGTCGTGGTGTTCAGGAAAGCATCTTGCCAGGTTGAGTGCAGTTGCCCTGCTTACCCATAGTGTTCTGTTCTTGCTTTCATTGACATCTTTTCTCTTGATACTCTGGGCTCCAGGGACAGGATTCCTTATGTTATTTCTGCTCTCTTGGACTAAAGTTGGGAGCACACTAAGGCCTCACCTGTTAGTGAATATATGCATAAACTTGATCTGTTTACAGATGCCTAGAAAAAACCCATCTAGGTTTTCATTTACATGTTTACTACAAAACCCCAGCAAATTTAGGTATTTATAAACAGTGAGTAGCCTCCGTTACCCTTACCCACCACTGTTTCTGGTAGAAACTATTCTGTATTAGCCAGAAAAGCATAAAATAGATTTTTCCAGTTACCATAGGATAAAAATGTTCACTATTTTGTTCTTATAGATCATCTTTTTTCCTTTAGGCAATGATAGTAAGAAATGCTAAAGATACAGCTCATACAAAAGCAGAGCGGAATATTCTGGAGGAAGTAAAGCATCCCTTCATTGTGGATTTAATTTATGCCTTTCAGACCGGTGGAAAACTCTACCTCATCCTTGAGTATCTCAGTGGTTAGTACATAGTTCCTGTAATTATTCGCATTTGCTCCAGAGACTGGGTTCAAACATTTCTTTCCAGTGAAAAATGTTTTCTTCTCATTGTGAGCAAGGCTAAAAATTGATGAATACATTGAAGAAAGAAATTCACATGTGAACAAATGGTTCTATTTACAGACAAATATAAAAGAAACTTGGAAGGTTTTCCTATCTGTAAAATTTTATTTAAAATCTCCTTGTAATCAAGTATTAACATAATAATAAGCTGGGGTTTCTACTGTAATCCACATACCCCATTAAATATTCCTTTCTAAATCGAAATGTGGAAGCTTACTAAGAGTATTACAAGATACTGAATGTTTTTGAATTATATCTTTTAATCACATTTTCAAGGACCTGCTCCCTGCTGGGAATTTCCAACTCCCTTTTATTTTTTTTCTTTGGTTTGTTTGTTTGTTTTGAGACAAGGTCTCATTCTGCAAACCAGGCTGGCCTGGAGCTCACTGTGTAGTTGATGCCAGGCTGCCTTTGCGTTCCTGGCAATTGTGCTTCAGCCACCTATGTGTTGGGATTACTACAAGTAGGAACTACCACATGTGGTTCCTGAATCATATATATCACAGAGGTGTGCACACGCCTGCTATTTTTTGTCTGTTTTTTTCTTTTTTCTTTTTTTGAGACAAGATCTCTTTATACAGTTCTGGCTGTCCTAGAACTCATTCTGTAGACCAGGCTGGCTTCGAACTCAGCGATTGACCTGAGGGCTAACATTAAAGGTGTGCGCTACCAGGCCTGGCATACCTTCAACAAGTTTCATAGTAGGGCTTATGGATCTGAATGAAAGCTTCACAGTTTTACTCCTTTTTTGTTAATGCTACTTATCTTGTGACTTTATTTTGTAATTTCAGATTTATATAGATTTTATAAGTAGTACGGGGTTCCTCACCTAGATCCTCCAGACAATGTGGAATTCCTGCCCCCTCACCTAGATTCCCAACATTCCATCATCTTATCGCATTTGCTTATCTTCCCCTCATGCATATGCGTGTGTGTACATACATGTGCACACATAAACACAGTCAACACTTTTTGTACTATTCAAAGATTTATATAACTAAAACTCTAGCATTTACTTTCTAAATTCAAGGACATTTTCTTATGTAACTAGTTATAATTTATTAGGAAATTAACATTGATATAATAACAACTTTTAGTTTTCTTTAATATAGAATAGTTCTTTAGTCTGTCTTTGTCACATTGACTTTTTTTTTGGTTTTTCGAGACAGGGTTTCTCTGTGTAGCCCTGGCTGTCCTGGAACTCACTCTGTAGCCCAGGCTAGCCTCGAACTCTCGAACTCAGAAATCCGCCTGCCTCTGCCTCCCAAGTGCTGGGATTAAAGGCGTGTGCCACCACTGCCAGGCAAATAGTATCTCTTGAGGAGATAATTTCTGATTGCTTCAGAATCTCATCTCATCAGGTCCAGTGTTGGTATCCATTGCTTCCTAACTGTAACAGTTAATGGTGTTTGCCAAGTGGTTTTCTTACTCCATCCTGCCACTTTCATTTATTACTGTGCTTGGTGTTCTCCTGCAGTGCAGAGCTTTCCATTTTCTATTGAAAAACATATCTGTTCATTTATTTACACCATTATGAGGTCCTGGATTTTACAGTATAATCTTTTATTACTATATGTCACTGTCAAATTCATTTATTTTATATAAGGGTTCTGAAAAAAAGGAAGATCACATTCAGTAAAATTTAGGTGACTTAATTGTGTACTAACTTTTTTACATATGGGAAAAGTACTAGAGAGGCTTTAATCAAGACTTTTTAAACTTCAAGCCTGAAATCTATGTATTTTGAAGTTTGCAGGTGTAAAAGTTGTAATTTCAAGCCAATTTTAGTTCTTAAACTTAGATGCTTTATAGAACAACAATGCTGCTAAAAATAGCTTCCTGGAGACTTTAAAACCTCATTTTTTAGCAGCTTTTTGTTTTTTAATTTTTAAGGACTCAATCTTACAAATAAAAGAAAGTACAAACTCCTTAGAAGAGGACTAAAAGTAAAGATATTTATTCCTTGCCGGGCGATGGTGGCGCACGCCTTTAATCCCAGCACTTGGGAGGCAGAGGCAGGCGGATTTCTGAGTTCGAGGCCAGCCTGGTCTACAGAGTGAGTTCCAGGACAGCCAGAGCTACACAGAGAAACCCTGTCTCGAAAAACAAAAACAAAAAAAAAGATATTTATTCCTAATACTTTCCTTTATAGGAGGAGAACTATTTATGCAGTTAGAAAGAGAGGGAATATTCATGGAAGACACAGCTTGGTAAGTAAAATTTTTGTGGTTATATGGATTCAGGTAATGATTCATGTAATTAAAAGCAAAACTACCTTCCCAGTGTGGGCAGCCACACGATTCAATAAGTTGATCTGGAGGCAGTCAGTCACTTAGAACATCAAGGGGGAACTTTGGGACTGGGCAGCTATTGGAGGTCACGTGATTCCTTTGCCCCCAGGCCTTGGGTGGACCGCTCTTCACTGCAGAATTTCCTTGAATTGGTAAGCTGCCTGCCTTGGTTGTGGGTGAGTGTGGTTTTCCAGTGAAATTTTGTATGTGGAGCAATGGAAAGTATCAGAAATCATCTCCTCTTTTTTGTAGACTTTCCAGTTCCCAAGGTGCAGTCTTAGGGAGGTGATAACCCTGAACATACATCTGTGGATTGATTTTATAGCCAGGATGGGATCTGCCCTCCTATTCGTAAGATGGCATCTGCTTCAAATTAAAAATATACACATCCTTTTGTGAAGTGACTGTATTGGGTAACAATAAATCAGTTTGACCTACACATTAATTGACTAGAAAACACTTAAATGTTTTTTCTATCTTAATTACCGAACTGCATTCCATTGTTTAATTTCAGGCCTTTTCTAACACAGAAGCTGCATTTAAGAGCCTTAGGGATGAAGTGCCCCTTTTTGGAGGAGGCTCTCTGAGCCCTGTTGGAGGCTGTGGTCCTGCTAGCTGTGAAACTGCCTCAGTCCTCTAGGACACACCCTCTCCATCCTGGAGTAATCTGCAGGATTGCAACATTGTTACACAGCCAGTATTGCAGTGCTTTGTGCTTTTCGAATCCAGACAGGGTTGATTCAGCCCTTTAATCTTTTGAGGTAGATAAATTTGAGTGTCACACAGTTTATAGTTGTGGGCTGGCTGGCAAGAGGGTGGGCAGATACTGTGGGCATTGCTGTCTATTAATACACAGCCATATTATATAAGGGATGAGTGGGCTTTTACAGGTCAGGCCATAATGACCAAGACTTGATTTCTTAGAATAATAAAGTCCCTATTTCCTGTGGAATCTTAAAAATTGGGGGAGGATGGGAGGAATTTGTTTGATCTGAATAACTGTTGGCCTAATTTCTACACAGAGAGATTAGAACCTAATCAATAATAGAATAGACTGGACATCTTTGCACTTTTAGCACTATGTTCTAATGGAAAAATTAAAACATGGTTTAGCTTGACTAAAATGAGTGACAAATGTCCTCCTCATTGTGGCATCATCCTGTGCCATCTCTTTTCCCAGTACATTCTTTTGCCCCCACTAATTTGGTCTTTGGTGCATGTCTGTTTCTTTCAAGGAATTTTGTTCCATACATAAACTGCTTTGGATAGATTACTTTTTAAATTTTTATTAAATCACTTTTGTTTCCAGCTTTTACTTGGCTGAAATCTCCATGGCTTTGGGGCATTTACATCAAAAAGGGATCATCTACAGAGACCTGAAGCCGGAGAACATCATGCTTAATCACCAAGGTGGAGATTTATCATGAACAATTCTGTAATACATAGTCAGCATACAATCCTTCCACACAGATGATGGCCATTTTCAAGGCTCCCATGTGATCTCTGTCTTGTTACATATATTTCCCCTCAGAATATATAGCATCACAATACTTTCTGGTACTTTAAGTATTTAGTATTTTATAATTGATCATAAATAGAGTTAAACATATTAGCCATTCTTTACAACTTAAAAAAAAAGTTATATAAAATGTTTTAACTCCAAAGCCAATTCAGATGTTGATATTGATTTATGCCATTATATTTAAATGACAAAAATGCAGAAATAGTAGAAGCAAAACCTGTTTGTTTTCTTAGAAATGATCTTTTTGTACAGCCAGCTGGCATTGAAGTTCGGGTCTTCCTGCTTCAAAATCCCAAGTGTAGGGCTTACATATGTGTACCACCACCATGTAGCTAAAAGCAAAACTTTTTATAATAAATTTTAACTAATATTTGAAGAAGAAAAGGGCTGAAATTGAACCACATTATTTGATACAGCCCCCGTAATAAAATATTCACTAGGCATAGGTTAATCAGAGAAACAGACATTCTGTACTTCTGTCAATACAGCAGAGCAAGCACTGGCTATAGCTTCATGCTCCTACAGCTCAGGCTCTGCTGCTGGAGTCTGATTGGGAAGACTACAGTTTACTCAAGGAACAAACTAACAGACCAAGGCATCTACAAGGCTGTGAGCATTGCTGGCCCGTAGGTCTCCATAGGATGATTTATGAGGTAGTTAACCAATGTAAACTCTTAAACAGAAAATGGTAAGGCCTATATAAATGTTACAAATGATGCTTTTTAAAAATTTGTTTGTGAGGGGCTGGAGAGATGGCTCAGGGTTAAGAACATCTGCTCATGAAGAGGACCTGGGTTTAATTCCAGGTATCTTACAACAGCTGAAAATTTAGTTCCTGGGAATCTGAAACTAGGGTTTGCTGGCACCAGGCACACATATAGTGTACATATATACACATAGGCAAAACCCTCATATGAAAAAAACAAAACTCTTTTTTTTAATGGAAAAAATGATAGAATTGACAAACTGCATTGTTGGAACTATGCCTGTATTCCTCCCTTCCTATCCCAAACCTACAATCTGATTCTGAATTCTTTGTTGTTGATTTTAAGGTATTCATTTAAAGTTATTTTTCCTGTTCTGAGAACTGAACCATGTTCTTTGTGCATGCTACCACCAAGCTATGGCTCCCAACCCTTCTGAGTCTCAGTTCTAAGGCAAAGGATAGAACAAGAGAGTGGTGGAATGGCAAAATTACTTTTAAATCCATAACTTTGGATATATCATTTGGTTCTATGAGAATAAAAGCTATGGTAGGTACAGTGGCACACAACCTATAATTCTAGCACTGTAGAGTCTAACTAAAGAGAATGAAATTCAAGGGTAGCCCAAATAGGTACTTGAGTTCCAGGCCAGGTTCTGTCTCCCACCCAGATCCAGTCTCAAAAGGGTTCTGAGGGGCTGGAAAGATAGTTCAGTGGCGAAGACCATATGCTGCTTTTCAGTAGACTTGGGTTCCCAGCACTGCATATTGACTCACAGCCATTCAAACTCCAGTTTCAGGATATCTGAGCCCTCTTATGGCTTACTTAGGCATCAGTACACATGTTGTACTTACATTCATGCAGGCAAAGTTACTCATATGTAAAATATATTTCTTACAAATGAGAAAATAAAAAATATAGCTCCAAGTTTCTTCATTTGTATCAGAATGTCATAGATGTCCACAGTTGAGTAAGTGTGAGTAAATGAGCCATTGCCTTTTGTCTGAAAGGAACCTTCAGTAATAGACCCTTGCTGTTGGTGAGCCACTGATTACTTAAATGACAGCTCAGAGAAAGTTATCTGAAATAATTTTTGTGTAAGGTGGAATTCCACCTTCTAGAACAGAAATAGTTATCCCATGCAAATTTTAGTTCTTTTCCTAGACTGACAGCTTTTGGCAGTAAATAATTTAATTTGTTTCTGCTGACTGATAGCATTTGGCATAGTAAGCCATATGGTAACTTTATAAGAACTCTTAAGTACACTATGAAAAAACCAATACAGTTGAAGTATGCCATGAGTTTTGTTTGAATACAGAATGTTTACTAAGGGTATATATTACTTAAACCAGATTTTCAAAGGTGCTTTTTCAGGACAGAACAGAATTCTGCATATAGGTAAAGCCAGAGCTTTAGACAGTTGCATTAGTTTTTGTATTTTCTCCTCCTGCACTGATTATATCACTGGCAGTACCCTATCTTTAAGTAGTTTTTAACCTATAGTAGATATGGCATCTCGTTCTCAGCATCTTCAAGAAGGGTTTAGAAAGGAAAAGCTAAATGGAAGGAAGAATTACCTGTGTGCTATGTTCAGAAACTACATATTCTTGAAACTCTCAGAATAATCATGCTTTAATCTTTCATTGTAGGTCATGTGAAGCTAACAGACTTTGGACTATGCAAAGAATCTATTCATGATGGAACAGTCACACACACATTTTGTGGAACAATAGAATACATGTGAGAGCTGCATGTTAAAAGAAATATAGCTGGTTTGGGGGTAATATCTAACTTTTACCTGGTTTAAATTACTCTTAGTTTTCTTAGTTTAGTAATTTTATTCAGATGATGTGAATGTGGGTAAATTGTAAGGAATGTTATTTTTCTCATTGTAGGGCCCCTGAAATCTTGATGAGAAGCGGCCACAACCGTGCTGTGGATTGGTGGAGTTTGGGAGCATTAATGTATGACATGCTGACTGGAGCAGTAGGTGCACGTTAAACCTGCATGTGTTATGATCTGTGCTGGAGAGTTACTAAGCCATTTAGTGAGAGCTCTTTGCTGTAGTTTTAGAACATGTTCCTGGTGGAGTTACTTTCAAAAAGACAAAACATTTGTTGTTATCTGTAGTTTAGCATTAATGTTAGCTTATGATTTTGAGGGATTCTATACTTTTAAAAATATTTTTATTAAAGTGATGTTTTTGGGGCTGGAGCGATTGCTCAGTGGTAGAAGAGTGAAGTCTGCCCTAGTTGAGTTCCCAGCATCTTGTCAGGTGGCTCACAGCCTCCTGTAACTGTAGTCCCAGGGGATCTGATGCCTTTGGTCTTTGTGGGCACCCATACACATGGCACAAACCCACAATGCCATGTGTACACATAATTAAAAATTAAAAAAAAAATTAGACTGACTTATGTCATGGCAGTCTAATGAAATGCAGAGAGAGAAATGGGAGCATAAAATGAGATGCCTCACTGACCATGCAAGACTTCCAGGGTATTGATCCTTAGTGTTCACTGTTTAAAGCCAGAGGTCTCTGAGTTAACTATTTTTAAACATGCTTTCTTATCTCAATGTATAATCATCCAATTCAGGAACTATATAATATTTTTAACTAAAATTTTGATTTATATACTAATTTTTTTTCTACCCCTAGCCTCCATTCACTGGGGAGAATAGAAAGAAAACAATTGACAAAATCCTCAAATGTAAACTTAATTTGCCTCCCTACCTCACACAAGAAGCTCGAGATCTGCTTAAAAAGGTAGGACTCTTAAATGACAACCTCATCAGCAAGGCTTAATGAGATAGAATTTGGTACACACACACACATATACACTCTCTTCCTCCCTCCCCCTTCCCCCCCCCACGATACTAAACAGAAAAAATTTGCAATTTTTTAAAGCAAGAGCAAAGTATATATTTAAAAGTTTTTCTTTTGTTCTCAAATATGATCTGGTATTAATAAATCATATTCCTTGAGCACACATAGGGACAACCTTCTATAAAGGAGAAAATCATTTCCATTAGCTACAGGTTTTTACCAGTGCTTCTTTTCTTCCCAAAGCTGCTGAAGAGAAACGCTGCTTCTCGTCTTGGAGCTGGCCCTGGGGATGCTGGAGAAGTCCAAGTAGGAACTGAGATGTTTGCTGTTTGGGGGAACATAATGCTAATTGTGCTTGTTTGTGATGGTTATATTGGGTACTGATACATTTAGCTTATTTTATGATTTATGACTTTAGAAAGGTGCTTTATCATTTCAGTTATCCCTCTTGACTTTTTCTAGGCTCATCCATTTTTCAGACACATTAACTGGGAAGAACTTCTGGCTCGGAAGGTGGAGCCTCCCTTTAAGCCTCTGTTGGTATGTATATATGGAAGCATGTGATATAGGGGGATCTATAACTGTCATTTCCAGTACTGGGGACTGAATCTGGGACCTCACACATGTCAGCCAAGTGCTCTGTCTACACTGACACCTCAGTCCTGGTAATTCTTTGAAATCAGGAAAATCAGACAAACCAGGTGTAGTGGTGTGCTCCTGTATGATAGTGTCTTTGTTAATGACGTCTGCAGTGACCCTTTCCAAATAAGATCGCTTCCTGAGAAACAAGGAGTTTGAATGTCAGCATATGGATGTGAGGTCGAGGGAACATAGTGCAGTCTATAAAAATGCTTATGGTTAAAATAATGTTTATTTAACTTCTGTCTTTTACCTCAGAACCTGAGCAAATATGCTTTCTATTTTTGGGGAAGGAAGAGGAGAAAGAGCCTGAAACCTTAGTTAGGGTTTTTATTGCTCTGAAGAGACACCATAACCAAGGCAATTCTTATAAAGGAACCATTTAATTGGGGCTGGCTTACAGTTTCAGAGGTTTAGTCCATTATCATTCACGGTGGAAAGCATGGCAGCATGCAGGCAGATATGGTGCTGGAGGAGCTGAGAGTTGTACATCTTGATCCAAAGGCAGCCAGAAGACAGTCTTTCAGGAAAGTGGGAGGAGGATCTTATTTCCCACCCCCACAGTGACACATTTCCTCCAGCAAGGCCACATCTCCTAATAGTACCACTCCCTGGACCACGCATATTCTAACCAACACAGGCTGGTAACTACTTGATCACAGAGCATAAGATGTCAACACACATAGGGCTGGAGAGATGCTTCTGTTTAAGAGCACTTGTTTTTGTAGCGGACCCAAGTTTTATCCCCTGTACCCATATGGTAGCTCACAGTGGTTCATAACTACACTTCCAGGGATCCAACACTCTGTGATCTCCAAGGGCACTAGGACATGCACACAGAAAATACTCAAGAAATTTATGTAAACCTTAAGATGTCTGCATACGGTATAGGGAGGATAATGCGCTCAGATACCTACTTCTTACCTTCAGAAATGATCAGATCATCCTTTTTAAACATAAGTGTAACACATTATAGTTATAGGATTGATCAATTGTTTATTTTGATTTCCTGTTTTCCTCATTATTTTCAATAAGATGTCAGTCTATATATAGTTTAAGTGCTCTCTTTCTTACTATATACAGATAACCCCTCATATCTTCTGGTCCATCTGTTTGTAGAATTCCTCAGATTAAAAAAGTGGGGTTTGTTTGTTTGTTTGTTTGTTTGTTTTTAGATTTTATGTGTTTGAGTATTATGCTGTGCATATGTAATATGCAGTAGGTTGTGTGTGTGTGTATGTGTGCGTGTGTGTGTGTGTGTGTGCGCACCTGATACTTGTGAAGGTCAGAAGTGGACATCAGATGCCCTGGAATTGGAGTTATGAATGGTTGTGAGCTTGTATGTGGATGCTGGGAACTTAACCCAAGTCTTTTGGAAGAGCAGCAAGTGCTCTTAATATATGATCCATTTTTCCATTCCTGCATTCCTTACATTTTAATTTTTGCTCGTTTTATCCCCAATGTGTCATTTACTATGTTTATCTAGCTTCCAAATTAAGAAACTTGGGATACAGATGGAATTCTTTTTTGGGGGGGCAGGGGAGGTTGAGACAGGGTTTCTCTGTGTAGCCCTGGCTCCTGGAAATCACTCTATAGACCAGGCTGGCCTGGAACTCAGAAATCCACCTCCCTCTGCCTCCCAAGTGCTGGGATTAAAGGCGTGCGCCACCACTGTCCGGCTCAGATGGAATTCTTCATGCTGTATGCTTTGACAAGGAAGCTTATCTTACAATATAGTTTTATTTCTTGTAGAGCCTGTAAGTCAGTAGTTCTTAACTGGGAGCTAAAGGCTAGAAGCATTTTAGTTGTGTTGCAGGAGGGCTCTGTGCCTAGTACCTACAGTGTAAAGGCCAGCACATGACAACTCTCTACTTTGAAGAATTATCAAGCCCAGGAGCTAGAGAGATGGCTCTGCAGTAAAAACTAGCACACTTGCTGCTTTCAAAGAATCTAAGTTCAATTCCCAGCACTAACATCGTGTCTTACAGCTGTCTATAGCTCCAGTTCCAGAGTATCCTACACTTTCTGGCTTTTGCAGGCATGCATGTAGTGCAAGCAAACACATAAATACATAAAATAAAAAAATTAAAAGAATTAAAATTATCAAGGTCCATAATGTCAGTAATGCTGAGGTGAGAAACTCTAGTTCTTTATTCTTATCATCTTGTTCATCCTTTTTTTAAATTTTTTTGTTTTATTTATTTATTTATTTATTTTGTTTTTTGTTTGTTTGTTTTTTCGAGACAGGGTTTCTCTATATAGCCCTGGCTATCCTGGAACTCACTCTGTAGACCAGGCTGGCCTGGAACTCAGAAATCCGCCTGCTTCTGCCTCCCAAGTGCTGGGATTAAAGGCGTACACCACCACCACCCGGCTTGTTCATTCTTTATTAGCCAGAAGTTTTCCAAAAAGCAGGCATCAGTTGTTTGGTTACCCAAGGAATAGTTAATACCAGGAATGTAGGCTAAATGTTTGATTTTAAAATAATGAAATAGTTCCTTAGTATCTTCTAAAATTAAATAATGAATTATAAGATTTTAAAAAAGATTTCTTTATTATGTATATAGTATTCTGTCTGTATACCTGCAGGCCAGAAGAGGGCACCAAATCTCATTATAGATGGTTATAAATCACCATGTGGTTGCTGGGAATTGAACTCAGGACCTCTGGAAGAGTAGACAGTGCTCTTAATCTCTGAATCATCTCTTCAGCCTGAATTATATAAATTTTAGTGTTTTATGAACTTGGTCTTAATATTTTAATCTATTCTGGCAATATTTTTCTTCCTTTTTTCTTTGTCCTCTGCTTCTTCCTCCTCCTCCTCCTTCTTCTTCTTCTTCTCTCTCTCTCTCTCTCTCTCTCTCTCTCTCTCTCTCTCTCTCTTTCTCTCTCTCTCTCTCTTTCTCTCTCTCTCTCTCTCTATTTCACACATGCACACACAGAGCACTGGCTGCCCTTAAGCTCACAGTTTAGCTAAGAATAGCCTTGATTCTCTTGCCTCTACCTCCTACGTGCTGGAATTGATTATAGGCATGTATCACCATTTTCAGCATAAGTCATATTTTTAAATTGATATTTCTTCTATTTGGTTCATGAATCAGACTAGACACATCATGAAAGGGAAGAAACTAAAGGAATCTGGTGCATAGAACTTATATGATACTATTCTTTAACAAGAAAATGTACTCAGAGCAAACCACTACTTTATAACCATAAGACGTGAATTAATCCACAATAAGACTCTCGGGACAGGGAAAGTTTGATGCTGGTGTGTTTCTTGATTGCACATGCCCAGGCAAGTGCTGTGCATGGAGTGTAAACAAAGTTTACATCCTTACACAGACTTAACTGTAGATATACAGTGGCCATTGAGCACATTATCTCTAGGAATTTATTGAGTGGCTAGATACACTAAAAGGTTATGAGGGGAAACTGATAATCAGTTTTAATTAGGATGATAATTATCTACTGAAATCTATGTTAATTCATATAAAAATTTGAAGATGTTAGGCTTTGGCTCACTGGTAGAGCATTTGCTTGCCTAGCAAGTTGAAGCCCTGGGTTTGAACTCAAGCACCATACATATACAAAGGGATGATGCCATGGGGCTAGAGAGAATCCCAGCACCCATGTAACTGCAGTTCTAGGGATCCAACATCTTCTGGTCTCTGTGGGTACCAGGGACACATATGGTGCATGGAAATAAATGCAATCAAAACACCTGCACATAAAAATTAAAAATTTTTTAAAAAGACACTGATGTAAATGTACCATTGACATTCTTTCTACCTGCATTTTTTTCTTTTTTTTTCAAAGAATTATTTATTGTATGTATGTGAGTACATTGTAACTGTCCTCAAACACACCAGAAGAGGGCATTAGATCTCATAACAGATGGTTGTGAGCCACCATGTGGTTGCTGGGAAATGAACTGAGGACCTCTGGAAGAGTATTTAGTGCTCTTAACCACTGAGCCATCTCTCCAGCCCACATTTTTTTCTTTGTGGCTGCTAAAATTATTCTCATGTTTTATTACAGTCAAACCCTGTGCAAAGAATATAGGGCTTGTGGCACCTTTGATTGATAGCAATAACATAGACTGTTCACCATTTTCTAACCATTGTTCTTATGAAGCAATCTGAAGAGGATGTGAGTCAGTTTGATTCAAAGTTTACACGTCAGACACCTGTTGACAGCCCCGATGACTCAACTCTCAGTGAAAGTGCCAACCAGGTCTTTCTGGTAAGTGAAAGGAATTTAAGTCCATGCAGCCATAGGAAACTTAAGTATGATGCAGTGAGAAGTTTATGTGGGAAGCCTTAATGACTTTGCTTTTAAGCCATTTCCTTGATAACTTACTGGTACCTACAAATTAATTTTCATAATCTTAACATTCTGTTTTAGAAATTACAGTGAGAATGTTTGAATCTTTGGAGTGATTCATGTTTGGTTGAGTGGTAGTGACTTAAGTGATGTGTGGCTCAGCATCACAAACAAAACCCAGGCAGAATAGAACTATTTTATTCCCAGATAGTCATCATAAAGTATGGATACTGTGACCAGGCAGTACTGATGCACACCTTTGATAGCAGCCCATGGGAGGCAGAGGCAGTCAGATCTCTGAGCTTGAGACCAGCCTGCTCTACAGAATGAGAGCCAGGATGATGAAAATAATAATAATAATAATAATAGTTTGTTGGCATATTTGTGTAGCTCTTTTATTTGGTTCTTATACCTCTACCTCCTTTCCTATCCCCCAACACTAGGTAGGAGAGAAAGAAGGCTAGAAGGGAAAGGGCGCATAGACATCTTTAGATTATTTCCTGCTGACTGGGGGTGTCAGGTTCCTAGGCACAAGTTCAGTCTCTCCAAACAGCAATCCAGCAAACCAGCAAACCAGCAAATGCAACAGCAGGGACCAGTGGCAGCAGCTGCCTCAGACCCTCTCAAGGTTCTCAATTTATACCCTCTCCAGAGTCCCCAGAATTAAACCATCTGCAGCTGGCGAAAACCACGCCCCTCTTAGAACACGAGACAATCATAGTTAATAGCTTTAGACAAACTAAAGCAGCTCCATATCCCATACCTGGGATTAAAACAAAAACATTCACAAAACATAATTGGATTTTCAAAGAAACCAAAACTCTCACTACAGTGGTTACTATCAACCTAATTCTGCAGGACATTTGTAATGTTAATTAATATTTGATAGTGGAAATATTGATTCACCTTTGATAATAAATACATTAGTTTTTATTGAAGAGGTATCTGTATTGTATCTCTAATCCAAAGTTTCTTTAGAAATTAATCTAAAAATAGCAAGGGGCATAGCTCAGTTGAGAGCATATACTAAACATAAGTGTGGCCTAGAATTTGGTCTCCAGAACAGCTTAAAAGTAACTAAATAAACCACTAATATTCCACTTACCTGTATATTCAAGTTTAACAAATATTTAATCTTCTGTGATAATATCTCATTAAAAATTAATGGAAATATTAAAAAAATAAAATACAAGTTTGTATTTAGCCCCTAGAACATACAAAGAAATGGCCTCTGAAACCGCAGTGTACAGTGAGGAGCTGCACCTTCCTTTTGGGCTCTACCCAGAGTCTATCAGCCAGTGATGCTACTGCTATGCTTATGTTCACTCAGCTGGTAATGCACAGGGAAAGCATGCAGGCAACAGGACTAATGGCTGAACAAACAAATGTACAGCAAGAAAAGGAGAGGCGGGAGCCAAATAAAGACAACCAGAACTAAAACAACAGCGTTTGTGCACTGCACAGTAGAATTTTCATAATGGTGGCCATTGGTCACAAAAAAACAGAACAAACCAAAAAAAAATGTGGCTCAGTTATTATTATTGTGTTGCACTTGTGTAGAGGAACCTGGATTTTGCTCCCAGCAACTATGTTAGGTAGCTCAAAGTTGCATGTAATACAGCTTCAAAGGATCTGGATGGCTCATGTCCTCAGGCGTCTGTACTCATATGCACATACCTACATACAGACATGCATACATATACAGCATTAAAAATAAAATATTAAAAAATTAATTTATACTACTGTTGGTGTGAAAGTGGAAAGGTCGCACATGCTAAGTCAGAGAACTCTAATTTTGGCTTAGTTATAAGCAACTGCTGTAGAATATTAATCCTAACTGATTTTATAAATACATATGTGTGTGTGGGTAGATATCTGAGTGTGTGTATGACGTGTAATAAATCTATATAAACAGTGGGCAGCTGGCAACGCACCAATTGATGTTTATCTCTATAGTCAACATTTAATGTTCAAGCTACATTTCCTGCAGTTGTCTTTTCTTCCCTATTACTAACAGTGTAGTAAAATGTTGTTGATTAGCATTTCAGGCCTAAAAAAAAAATGTATAAAAATGCCAGATGTGGTGGTGCTTGCCTTTAATCCCAGCACTTGGGGAGGCAGAAGCAGGTGGATCTCTGTGAGTTCAAGGCCAGCCTGGTCTACAGAGTAAGTTCTAGGATAGCCAAAGCTATACATAGAGAAATCCTATCTCAGAAAAAAAGAAAAAGAATATCGAGGAATATACACATTGGTGAGTTTAGTTGTATTATGATAGTGTTGGTAACTCAGACTAAAAAGCCATTTTCTTGATGGGTGTGATCAAACATCATCCTGTAGTGTATTGTGCTGTTTTTCAGGGTTTTACATATGTGGCTCCATCTGTACTTGAAAGTGTGAAAGAAAAGTTTTCTTTTGAACCAAAAATCCGATCGCCTCGAAGATTTATTGGTAGCCCACGAACGCCTGTCAGGTATTTCAGACTTTTATTCTTTTTTTCTGTTCATGTCCTTGTATCCGTGTTTGTGTGTATGCAAGTTCAGGTGCATGCAGAGAACAGCCTTAAGTGTTGCTCCTCAAGTAATCTCCATCTCTCTCATTGGCTTGGAATGTACGCTAGGCTGGCTGGCTGGCTGGCTGGCTGGCTGGCTGGCTGGCTGGCTGGCTGGCTTGGGAGGGCCAAGAAACCTGTTTGTTTCCTCCTCAGTGCTGGGATTACAACCATGTGCCACAGTACTCACTTTCTTACATGGGTTGTGGGTATTAAACTCAGGTGCTTGTGCTTGCAAGGAAAACACTTTTTTTTTAACCCTATAAGAATATAGCTTAAGAAATGCATGTAAGTTACACAAATAAAAGGTCTGTCGTGTTTGCCTAACATAAGCATAACATCCAACTTCTCACACCAAGTGACCTCTCGATGCATTTATCAACATTTTATATATGCTGCCTAGTATGTGTATGGAATACAGAACTGTTCCTTCCTGACAGAAATATACACAAATCTGTATACCTACCAAGTTATGCCAAGTGTACCTGCACACATTATACACACATTTTTTTAAAAAAAGGTTGTAGTAGAAAGCAGAGAAAAAAATTAGGAGGTTTCCATTACCTATGGGCAACATGGTCTCCCTGGTGAAGTACCTTCTAAGAATAAGGAAAAAGATAGCTATGCAAGAAATAAAAAAAAAAAAAAGGTACAAAGTATTGCAGGCAGAAGAGCAGCGAGGTCAAAGCCCTGGGGAGGGGAACATGCTTTTTTTTTTGGTTTTTCAAGACAGGGTTTCTCTGTGTAGCCCTGGCTGTCCTGGAACTCATTCTGTAGACCAGGCTGGCCAGAAATTCGCCTGCCTCTGCCTCCCAAGTGCTGGGATTAAAGGTGTGCGCCACCACCGCCCAGCCAGGAAACATGCTTTTTGGAAATAAGTCAGCGTTCCTGCAATGTGGTAAATAAGGAAAATGGCCAGCAATTTAGGAAAGTCTTTTATTTGAAGTGCAATCGGAAGTTGTTTTTAAGCGGGAGTGTAAAATGACTTAACAGCATGTTATTAAAGGCGTAGAGGTAAGGGTCAAGCGTAGAGGTAAAGAGGCTGGTTTGGACACACTATTAGTCTAGGGGAAAGATGGCTCAACCTTTGCCTTTTGGGACAGTCTATATGACAATAAAATTAGATAAATAAGGTCACATCACCCTTCCCTTTAATCACGAGGGGAATATTTCTTGTTACGATGATCCTTGAGACAAATGAATGATAGCTCTTCCTTGTCTTAAAGCCCAGTCAAATTCTCTCCTGGGGATTTCTGGGGACGAGGTGCTTCAGCCAGCACGGCAAATCCTCAGCCACCTGTGGAATACCCAATGGAAACAAGTGGAATAGAGCAGATGGATGTGACAGTGAGCGGGGAAGCATCGGCGCCACTTCCAATCCGACAGCCCAACTCTGGGCCGTACAAAAAACAAGCTTTTCCTATGATCTCCAAACGGCCAGAGCACCTGCGTATGAATCTATGATGAAACAATGCTTTTATTAATGCAAATGCAAAAAGGAAACAAATCCGGGAAGGGGATGTGTGAGCATCCTGCAAGATAAGAACGAGAATCAAAATGGCAGTCTCAAAGAGTCAGTGTCATTACCTGGAATGCTTTCGATGGAGGGAAAAATAAACAACAGATTTTTTAAAAAATCAATCAATGGTGCAAAAAAAAAAAAACCCACAAAAAAAAACTCAAGCAAAATAGTATTGTGGAACCCACAGACACATCAACTGACTGGTTCCTATCCTAGCAACATCTCAGCGTTCACAAGGGTTCTCATGCTGGTGGCTGCAAACTGACAGTATTAGGGTAGGATGTTGCTTCTGAATCACCGTTGAAGTCTGACGATGTCAAATAAGGGTTATTCTAATAGGCAAAGTATGAGATTGCCTGTAATACTTGCAACTAAGGACAAATTAGCATGCAAGCTTTGTCAAACTTTCTCCAGCAACACGGAATCAAAGACAAGAAACTTATTTGATGTTTTACGTGCAAACAACCTGAATCTTTTTTTTATATAAATATATATTTTTCAAATAGATTTTTGATTCAGCTCATTATGAAAAACATCCCAAACTTTAAAATGCAAAGTTATTGGTTGGTGTGAAGAAAGCCAGCTTTTGTTCTTCTCTTGATGAAATAAAATGCAAATGAATCATTGTTAACCACAGCTGTGGCTTGTTTGAGGGCTTGGGGTGAACCTGGGGTGTTTTTTATTTTTTTGTTTTAGTAACCTAGCTGCAATACTTGTCAGTAATAATAGGAGGGAAAAGTCTGTTTAATCATTTTTACTTGCAGTACTGCTGTATTTTAGGCTTAACTGCAAGCCTTGGAACAGGCAGAAGTTATATGATCTACATTGCATCCTTGTCCTGGGCCTGCACTACACTGGAAAAAAATATCACCACCTGTTCTTATCCCAGTATTTGAGTCAAGCCCATGGCCAAGGAGAGCCCGAAGAGAGAATCAGGCTGAAGTGCACAATGAGGGCAGTAAGCAGGGCACTGGCCCTGCAGGGAAGAGGGTGTTGCCATGGGCCAGCCTCTTTCTGTCTCTTTACAGCATATCAGTATGGTTTTAGTTTTACTTTGTACTGTTTTGCTGTTTACCTTCCTTAACAATTTTCTTTAAGAGTCTACAAAAGAAAAAAAGGTGTTTTTTCCCTCCTGTACTGGGGCTACATTTTTTAATTGTAAAAATATTTGATGGCCTTTTGATGAATGTCTTCCATAATGAATAAGAAAACCTAGTGGCTTAATTTAGGAAACATGTTAACAAGACACTGTTTTTGAAATTGTAACAAAATCTACATAAGTGATTTACAGGTACAAAGAATAAAAATAAAGGTAACTTTACTTTTCTTAAATACTTCCTGCCTTAAGGAGCATTTCCATGACTAGCTGGTGAAAGGGTTTAATATCTGCAGAGCTTTATAAAATATACTTCAGTCCATACTGGTCCCCGTAGACGGTCACACAGTGAGTCCTGTCACACCACTTTGTTTGGTCTTTTATGTCTTCAGTCTGAACAACTCACTTGGTAATAATAGTTGCAGCCCTCGGGTTTCTTTATATGCAGATGCTCTTGCTGTGTTCCTCATAGGATCCAAGCCATAAAAATTTTTATGCATGTCAGAACTAGTCAGGATTGACCCAGACCTTGCTTATTTAAATTGTAATTGAAGTGCAATCAGAAGAAATTTTTAACAGTGAGCAAAAATAGAACCTTGAGGGGCTGGAAAGATGACTCTGCAGTTAAGAACTCTGGCTACTTTTCCAGAGGTCCAGAGTTCAATTCCCAGCACACACATGGTAGCTCACATCTATACACTGCAGTCTCCTTGGGTCAGATGCTCTCTTGTATGCAGACATGCAGACAAAACATTCACATGCATAAAAATCTTTTTAAAAAACAAAACAAAAGAGCCATGACAGATGATTTCAATTGTGGCAGTAAAAGTCCATCTTTGGACAGAGGCGGCTTTTTATCATTTAAATGATCACTCCCGAGTCTCTGACTGTGGCAGCATTTTGAGAACTTCATAGTTGTAGCAGTAAATTAGAGCTGCAGTAATGACTCAGAATGTTCTTCATTCTTTGAGAGTTTGCGGTATCTTAAAAAAATAGAACCCCTCCAAAAACCTATGGCAATGCATATAGGAATCATTTCAGACTGCAAATGGCTTATGCTGCTCTGATATCTGTTTCCAAATGTGTTTACTAACTATAGCGTTGACTGCCTGGCCAAATTCCAATAAGACTTTTACACTAAATGATTCCTCCCTTGCTGTAGTTGCTAGTAATATGTGCACTGTGACCACCCCATAAACTGTTAAACTGTTCATATAATTACTGCCAGCAATAGTGGCAAATATCACAGTGTTTTTGTGTAGAACGCATTAATTGTATACCTTCCATCTACTTCCATCTACACAAATATATAGCTTTTCTATCACAGCACTAAGTGAAATTGATCATGCTGTGGCAAGTTTATTGAGAAACTTTCATAAATGGATACCCCTTCTATGACTGTGAAAACATGTCAGGTGTCACATGAGTGTCACAGACAGAAAGCACACGCCTATGCAATATGGCCTATTCTGTATTTATTTGTAAAAATGGAAGCATAATTTAAAGTGTATGTCAAAACTAGTTTGAGTTTCTAAGAGAGGTGTTCATGCTTGTACCAGGTAAGTGTATAAAAAAAGATTACGTGCTTCTTCTTTCATTACTTGATTATTTTCTTTAAAATCAGCTATTACAGGATATTTTTTTATTTTCTACATGCTGTTTTTTAATTAATATGTACTCACTGAACTGAAGTTTACTAAATTTGTTTTATAAGGTTTGTAGTGTTACAGAGTAACTGGGATTTATAAACCAGCTGTGATTAACAATGTATTAATTATTGAACTTGAACCAGACCATTAGGAAAATTATGTTATTTCTTCCCCTTGTATGCTCTTAAAAGAATTTTTTTCCCCCATACTGTTTTTGAGATTGTTTGAGATCTGAGGAGAGGATGCATGTATGAGACTCCATAAATTCAACATTCTGTACTATAGGTGACAACTATAAACAAAATGTATCTTAGCATTAATATCCTAAGCCTTGAACATCATATTTAATACAGGACCATTTTAGAATTATTCAGTTAGTTGTATATTTCCTAGCTTACAAGGGCTAGTTCTAAGATATTCTCATGAGAAATGTTGAATTTATGAAGAATGAATTTTGAGGCTTTGAAAATGGTTAGTATCTCAAAAGATGTCAGTATCCAAACATCTATGGTTTCGTCCTAGGAGCAGACATTAGCTAGATAGACAGTCATTAACAATATTTGTCACACAGGACCTATGGTTTGTTGCTGAACAATATAGTACTTTCCTCATGTGACTCAACACTATAGCACAAGTATTACTCCCCTGGATTCTCTGAAGGAGCATCTAAAAGACAGGTTTCTGACAGTGTTTGCTCTTTAAACTATGTTTTCTTCTACCCCAAGTTGGCTTTGCATCTATTAAATAAGTTCTTCAGCTGCCTTATTAGGAGTTCTATGAGGACAACACCTTTTCTGCTTTTCATCTTGTATTAGTTGACTGTGTTAAGATATTTGATTTCAGATTGAATGAATGTAAATAGAAATTAAATGCAAATTTGAATGAACATAAAAAAGAAGTGATTTTTTTATTACCGGAGAGAAAAAATTTTAGCATACATATTTACTACAGTATACATAACAGATGTACAATTTTTTAAATTAACATGTTAGATATGTTCATGTTATCATATTTAATAAACTACTTTTGTATGAAAAAATGACAGTTATAAAACTTTCTCCCAAGATACTGGAACTATTTAAATATTTAAATATATAACAAATTTTAGTGGTCACTCTGTATTAAATGTTACAGATTCTTGTTATTTTTGAATATACTTTGTTTGCTTTTAAAAATATTCATGCAACAAGCTATGTGGAATCTAGCTTCACATAAAAATAGTAGGAATACTTTCTTGTATTAATAATCAACAATTTGCCTAAGTACACCTCATAGCTAGCTTTGATAACGTAATGTTCATGTGCAAAATAATTCTATAAAAAGTTAGCAAATATGTCAGATGGCTCCCACAGTTAGGAGCAATGCTATGCCTTGCGAGGGACATGGGTTTGGTTTCTAGTACCCACATAATAGTGATTCATCATAACCATCACAAAATAAATCTGAAAAACAAAAATCGCCCATTTTGCCACATGCGGTGGTCCCTGCCTTTAGTCCCAGCCCCCAGGAAGCAGAGGCAATTAAGTGTTTGCAACTAGCCTGGTCTACAAAGCAAGTTCCAGGACAGCAAGGGCTACTCAGAAACCCAATCTTGAAAAAAAAAAAAGAAAAAAAAAAACCAAAATATCTCTAGAAAGGAGAGATACTGGTAGTTGGTAGCATCTCTGGCCCCCTTACCTCCCCTCTCTTTTTGGACATTAATTTTATGTGTATAAGTTTTTTGCCTACATGCGTCTGCATCATGTGTGCAGTGCTCAAGAAGCCAGAAGAGGGCATCAGATTTCCCTGGAACTGGAGTTAAGTTGGTTGTTAGCTGCCATGTGAATAGTGGATGGGATTCAACCCCAGGCCTCTGGAAGAACAGTGCTCTTGCTCTTAACTGCTGAGCCACTCACTCTGTAGACCAGGTGGGCATCAAACTCAGATCCACCTGCTGCCTTTCAAGTGCTGGGATTAAAGTATTTGCTACTACTTACCGCCCATTTTCTATTTTTAATTGATGCCCTTCTGAAACCCCCCCCCCCGCAGTCTTCTACAAACTTTTGTTATTTAATCATATTTTAAAAAACCAAACTGCCTGAACAGCTATTAGGTAAGTACAAGTGTTGTAAGAGGGCTGAATGTGATAGTTGGAATAGGAAGTCATTTCAGCTGACTTTCACAGCCAAATTTTAATCACAGATTGCTTTCTTCCATTCATTCCTTGTATATCTAATACAACTAAGCTTTACCACAAAGGAAGATGATTTAATGTACTTAGCAGGGTTTCTCAATAGGCAAGGTGTGTGTGTATAATAGACTATATTTGTGTGTACACACACATACAATATAGACATATATAGAGTGCCTGAATACTCATTTGAAAGTAGTAGTTATCTGGCATTTATCTGATTATATTAGTTTTCCTGTACCTCTGTCAATATAGGCAGTAGCTGTGCAGACATGATTTCACCTATGGCACTTGGTCACTATCCTGTATAGCCCTGGCTGTCCTGGAACTCACTCTGTAGACCAGGCTGGCCTTGAACTCAGAAATCTACCTGCCTCTGCCTTCCAAGTGCTGGGATTAAGGCGTGCACCATCACTGCTCTGTCACTATTCTTATTAAACCATGTGCTGGTTTAGTCTGTCTTTAAAATTTAACTTAATTTAGTGTGGTGGCACACACGTTTAATCCCAGCATTCAGCATAAACTCTGGTCCTAGAAGAGCAGTACAGGTTCTAATCTGCTGAGCCATCTCTAGAACCCAGTTTAGTCTTACACTGCAAATCTGTTTTCACCTCATTCTCCTTCCCACTTTGATTTCCTTGTTACTGATGATAAATAGGTAGAAGCCTTAACTTAGCAGCAGCAGCTCCTCAGACATGGTAAAGATTTCAGATTCTTCAGAGGAAACATGAGGAAAGATAAAGTGCTCCATTACCTTTTCTACTTGCAGAAATCAGCTGGAGATGACTAGCACCAAATGTTCTGGCTTCCCCTGAGTAAAAGTTGCTGTTTTCCCCCTTTCTCCTCGATGTGGAATTCAGCCAGGACACATGCACACTAAACAGGCACTCCACCAAGTCTTGAGTGTAAGCTTTCATATCTCAACGGATGGTGATTATAAAACTTGTGAGCTACATTCCCCAGCCCACATTCCAATCATTTTGTTATTTCAAGCTATTACACAGTACTACACAAAACACAAGACAGCTAATGAATGGCAAGGAGCACATAACAGGTCCATCAGGTGAATGAATCTAAATCATTTATTCCCACTGATTACTAGTCATAGAGCATAATACAGTATTAAAATATATCATCCTCAGTAAATCTTCACTTAGAAAATGTGATTGTTATAGGTAAAATATAGCATTTAGAACTTTAAAAATACAATTTTATGAAAAATTTAAGCATTTTTAGAATGGGAATTATAAAAGTCTGAAAATTGTTTCAGATACTATATATATATATATCTTATATTTTAAGATATATATATCTTAAAATACTATGCAAATCTTTATTCTGAAAACCATGTCAGGAAACAGACCCTGAACCCTTTTAAAATGGCTAGTTCTAGTTTCTAATTGCTGTTTTGGTATTGCTGATAAGAAACCACATTTCCAATTTAACACTGCAATTATCTGTCAAATAAGTGGAATAAATGTTGCATATTTATTAAGGTGAATATATACTTTAAAAATGCAAGGCTCTTGCACTTAATCTTTTGAGAAACTGAACTATAAACATATGTCTCGTGATACCCTAAAACCATTTTTCTACTCCTGGAAAACAATTTTAAAGACCAATTATGATGCCTTTATCAATGTTACCAAACCAGATAAAATTAGTGTCTCGAGGCCTTAATAGTTTGTACAACTTAGTACATCTGAAGGTGAGATGAAGTGGCTCCATCTTTCCATTTGTTTATACGTTCTGAAATCACAGTTCTGCACAGTGGACATGTTTTCTCTCTGTTAAACCATAAGGTAATACATTCTTCACAGAATATATGCTGTAAGGGAATGAAGAAGCAGATCTTACACAATGACACTCTAGAAGGTCACATTCTTTAAAGTTATAAAGGATTTCAGAAAACATCAGTCCCAGCAGTTTACAATGTGAAAATGACTGTTTTAATGGCTAAGCCAGTGAAAGTGTTCTCATTCCATTTAACTATTTTCCCAGGTACTGCCTTTTAAGTATGATCACTTACCTGCTTAATGGTAACTTATGGACAGTTACTGTGAAATACAGCAAGGAGCATTACATTTATTAACAACTGCTACTCTTGAGCAAGACTAGTAGCCAGTTGGAGATGGAGCCTATTTGCTAACTGCTTTGGTATCTAAGTAGTTGATCAAATTACCCCCCTCCTTTTTCTTATGGTCCTCTCCACAAAAATCATCAGAACCTAAGGGACAGTCTACCATACCCCTTCCATCCTCAACAAGTTATCAGCATTTACCTTAAATACAATTAAATATTACCTTTACTGCCGTATAACAAACATAAATGTGATTTTAACAAATCTGAAAAATGCTTTTATAATTTGTTTAGAAATCTTACCTGACAAAAGAGAAGAACTGGCTTCTGAAATTCAGCTTGACATATTGAACAAATACCATCCATATCTGAACACTGTCTCTTGCTGGCAGGCACTCCATAACTCTATGAAGACAAATTCTGTTAAAAGTAATCCCTGTGGAGAGTTTGGTTTTGAAATACATATCTGGTCTGGGATGTGGCTCAGTGGTAGCACGTTTGAGGCCCAGGGCTCAATCCCTAGAACTATTTCAACAAAAAAGGTGGTGTTCCACGCTGTTTGATTTAGTAGCTCAGACATTAGACATTCTAAAATGGGATTCATTCTAAAGTCCTGAGCTCTAAGATCTTGACTTTTTCACTGAAGTTGACAGGGTTTAATCATTATCCATACACAGAGGTTACGAACAATCAAAGCTTTCTGTCGACATGAAGGGGGAAGGTGGTGAACAACACCTGAGGGCTTCATGGAAACAGAAAGCAAGGTAGGTCCTAGTTGTGACAGGCTAACAAAAGCTAAAATCAACGTCCTTTAAGTGAAGATTTACCCTTATGGTCACTTACATTTTGTTGATAAGGTTGACAAAGGCATGTATATGCACTTGGGGTGCTTATTTAATGTTTTGTTTTTCTGTGTTAGGTATTTAACTTAGGGCCTCACACACATGCTAGGCAAGTACTCTCAAGTTATACCAACAGCCCACAGGACATTGTTTTGAGGCAGTTTCAGCCTAATCTTACTAGATTCAACCAAGTCAAATTCTTATAACCACAACTGAACTAACTTAAAACTGAATTCTGAATTTTATTGTATTTTTTTTAATGTTCTCTTTGTTTTAACAGGGTTTCTTTGTGTAGCCCTGGGTCTCCTGAAACTTGCTTTGTAGACCAGACTGGCCTCAACTCACAGAGGTCCATCTGCCTCTGCTTCTCAAATGCTGGGATTAAAGGCAGATGCCACAGTACTCACCTAGCATTTGCTTTATATCATTAATGGTCTTTAAAAAAAAAAAGAAGAAGTCCCCCATTCTTGCTTTCTTCTCCTCTTGCTCCCCTTCTCTGCACATTCCCTTCCCCCTTCTCTCCATGTGCTCATCTCTATTCCACACACCCCCCCCGTCTCTCTCTCTCTCTCTCTGTGTCTCCCTCTCTCCTCTCTCTGTCTCTGTCTCTACTACCCCCTCAACTCTCCTCCACATGCCCTAAATAAACCTTTTATTCTATACTTAAAAGAAAAAAAGTCCCCTAGCTAGTTAGTTTGGACTATTCTATAAATAACTTCTTATCTTTTTTTTTTTTTGGCTAGACTTTCTTGTTGAAGTGCTCAGGCTGGCCCTTAACCTTTAATTCTGGGATCA